GTCACCTGATAATGAGAGGACCTTATTTCAACACACGTGGCCTCAAAGAAACGCTATTGCTCCCATTTCAATTCCGTTAATAGTAAAGAAAACATTCAAATAAGTTCAGAAATTCTTTTTTTTTTTCATGGAGAATTATCTAGCTTCATGCTGTTGTCCCCAAAATTCTGCAATGGGGACGGCCATTAGTTTTTCTTATATTTGGGTTTTCTGGTCACTGACCATGACTGGTATTTCAGCTGCATTCTGATTGGCCAGAATCACCAAGCAGATAATCAGAACACAGCTTTTTTATTCTCTTCACAGTCCCCACTGTACTCCCCACCGTATCCTCCACTGTACTCCCCACCGTATCCTCCACTGTACTCCCCACCGTATCCTCCACTGTATTCCCCACCATATCCCCCACTGTACTCTCCACTGTACACCCCACCCTATCCTCCACTATACTTCCCACCGTATCCTCCACTGTATTCCCCACCATATCCCCCACTGTACCCTCCACTGTCCGCCCCACACTATCCTCCACTGTACTCCCCACCATATCCTCCACTGTATTCCCCACCATATCCCACACTGTACCCTCCACTGTACTCCCCACTGTACTACCCACCATATCCCCCACTGTACTCCCCACCATACCTTCCACTGTACTCTCCACTGTACTCCCCACCATACCCTCCACTGTATTCCCCACTGTACCCTCCACTGTACTCCCCACCGTATCCTCCACTGTACTCCCCCTACTTCATTCACTGTACTCCCCACTGTATCATCCACTCCTCACTGTATTATCCACTCCAAACTGTACTCCTCGTTGTTATCTCCACTGTACACCCCACTGTACTCCTCACTGTACTCCCCACTGTAATCCTCATTGTTATCTCCACTGTACACCCCACTGTACTCTGCACTGTACTCCCCACTGTAATCCTCATTGTTATCTCCACTGTACACCCCATTGTACTCTGCACTGTATTTCCCATTCTACCTTAAACTGTACCCTCTATTGTACTCCCCACTGTACCCTCCACTGTGCCCATACTGAAGTGCAGAGCATCTTGACACAGTAAAATGCACAAAATAGAAATTCCATATTTTTTACTTGTGTATCTGAACTTGTATAACTGTTATTTCATGTAACAGACACTTGTCTTTGGACATTCTATATAAGTGTCTGGTAATATTTATTGGTAACTTAGCCATTGGCTGAACACTAACCTTGAACGTTTCTCAGTTATTGTTCTATGGCTTTTGGCAGCTTGGTGGGGGTCATTTCACTCTGCACTCCGTGTCATATTTGGGTCTCTGTACTGATCTGTCTTCACCATTCCTTGCAATATAGGACCCAGTGGGGGATCCTTGCAGTGATCCGTCTCCGCCATTCCTCGCTATATAGAACCCGGTGGGGGATCCTTGCAGTCACAGGTCTCCACCATTCCTCACGATATAGGAACCGGTGGGGGATCCTTGCAGTGACAGGTCTCCACCCAGTGGCGTACACATGACCCATGGGGCCCGGGTGCGAAAATTGATCCGTGGGCCCCCCCCCCCCGCGCGCGCAGGCCGGGCCGCAACACATGGCGGTGGGCACCTGGTCGCAGGAGTTACAGGGCTGCGACCCCTGCGACCGCGGTATGTACGCCAGTGCATGCAGATGCACACACACTTAAAGGACCACTCTAGGCACCCAGACCACTTCAGCTTAATGAAGTGGTCTGGGTGCCAGGTCGAGCTAGGGTTAACACATTTTTTCATAAACATAGCAGTTTCAGAGAAACTGCTGTGTTTATGAATGGGTTAAGCCTTCCCCTATTTCCTCTAGTGGCTGTCCCATTGACAGCCGCTAGAGGCTTTGCGTGCTTCTCACTGTGATTTTCACAGTGAGAGCACGCCAGCGTCCATAGGAAAGCATTATGAATGCTTTCCTATGTGACCGGCTGAATGCGTGCACAGCTCTTGCCGCGCGTGCGCATACAGCCGACGGGGAGGAGAAGAGGAGGATCGGAGGAGGAGAGCTCTCCGCCCAGCGGTGGAAAAAGGTAAGTTTTACCCCTTTCCAGAGCCGGGCGGGAGGGGGTCCCTGAGGGTGGGGGCACCCTCAGGGCACTATAGTGCCAGGAAAATGAGTATGTTTTCCTGGCACTATAGTGGTCCTTTAAAGGACCACTACAGACACCCAGATCACATCAGCTCAATGAAGTTGTCTGGGTGTCAGGTCCCTCTAGTTTTAACCCTGCGGCTGAAAACATAGCAGTTTCAGAGAAACTGCTATGTTTCACTGAGGGTTAATCCTGCCTCTAGTGGCTGTCTCACGGACAGCCGCTAGAGGAACACACTGAACGTCCATAGGAAAGCATTGAGTAATGCTTTCCTATGGGCGGTTTGAATGCGTGCGCGGTCGCATTCGGAGCTGAGAGGCTGAGGGAGCCTCAGCGCCAAGGTAGTCCGGCGCTGGAGAAAGGTAAGTGCTGAAGACACACACACTCTCACTTACAGACGCATACACACTAGCTAACAGACACACACATTTACTGACAGAGATACAGTCAGCGACAGACATACATACACACTCACAAAACATACACTCTCATTGACAAACACACACTCACTAACAGACATCAAACAGACTCACTAACACACACACAGTAACACACTCACTGACACTCACTAGCAGACACACACACTAACACACTAACACTCACTAGCAGACACACACTAACACTCACTCTAACACTCACACTAACACTCACACACACTAACACTCACACACACTAACACACACTCTAACACTCACACACACCAACACTCACTCTAACACTCACACTCACTCTAACACTCACACACACTAACACTCACTCTAACACTCACACTCACTCTAACACTCACACACACTAACACACACACTAACACTCACACATGATTTTTTTTTTTTTTAATATAATCCCCCCAGCCTCCTTACCTCTTGGAGTGCTGGGGGGGGATTATTCCCTGGGGTCCAGTGGGGCTCCTGGGTGGCCGGCCGGTCGGGCCGGCAGGCGGGCGCGCGAGGGAGCACTCAGTGCTTCCTCTTCAGCTCCCTCGCGCGCCGCGTAGGGATGCCGGCGCCGGAAGATGACGTCATCTTCCGGCTCCGGTATCATTGTGGTGCGCGAGGGAGCTGAAGAGGAAGCACTGAGTGCTCCCTCGTGCGCCCGCCTGCCTGCCCGACCGGCCACCCGCCCTGTGGGTACATACCGGGTCGCAGGGGCGGCCGGGCCCCCTGGTGGGCCGGGCCCGGTCGCAGTCACGACCCCTGCGACCCTGGTATGTACGCCAGTGTCTCCACCATTCCTCGCGATATAGGAACCGGTGGGGGATCCTTACAGTGATCGGTTTCCACCATTCCTCACTGTATAGGACCCATGGGGAAATCTTGTAGTGACCGGTGTGGCAGACCGCCTGGCACCCGACTGGATACCACCACCAATCTCTCTTCCTAGTATCACTGAGTACTATAAGCACCGCGCCAGACACCATAACCACTGTAGACCCCTTAGCTGCCGCAGTTTGACTGGGGTCTCACCGTCCCTTCCCACCCTGGATCAACACCTGGATCCAGCTCCCAGTGGGAAGACCTCTCTTCCAAGAGATTATAGCAGGTATAGTAATCCAAAGAGCAGTATAGCAATCCCCCTCACACATGAGCCACTGTGCCAATAACAAGGCCTCTATGAGACTGTCTGACTGAAATAGCCAAGTTTCACTCAGCTCTTTCATTGGAAGTGCCTCTAGTGGCTCTCACAGTGACATTTAAACCCTGTAAAGTAAACATTGCTGTTCCTGCAGAACAAATATGTTTTACATTACAGGGTTACAATGACAGGGGCATGGCACAAGCCCACCATTGAAGTGCTTTGGGTACCTATATTGTCACTTTCAATTTTCGGACAAAATTTGGATTTGTCCAAATGAATATTTTTCCAAATTACTGACAAGTCTAAATTTAAAAAAATGAATGAAACAAAGTAAAATGTTCACCTTTGCACCCTGTCCCTATTGCTGTGTGTCATTTCGTGATACGCTTTGTACTCTGCTAGACTCCAGCAATTTGAGATGGCTCTCAGTGGATTCTCATTAACAGTTTATTTATCTTACTAAATTTCCAGCTTTTCAAACATGACTGCTGATCCAAAAAGACCCCACCTCCCGTTGTCCTACGAAATTATTACACCACACAATAGTTATGGGTAAGGGCAACGGCCACAGCTTTATTAATTTTAACACAGACCAGCTTTCCATCCAACTGCCAGCTGTTGAGAGACTTCTCCCAACAGGAAGATACCACTTCTTTGTCCATGAGTTCATATCAGCCTGCCTACCACCATCAGCCCTCGGCAGGCTGCGACTCCCCAAGTTGACTCATCAATTTCTTTCAATTACCAATGCGCTGGCCAGGAACAGTTCCACCGCGATCTCGACCCTGTCCAGTCACTCCTGTCGGGATTGCGCCCCCCGCAGTCAGCGCCAACTCCACTCCAGACTGAAGTCCCAAATTAAAAATATCAAGCCCAATGCTAGTTAGGTGGACACCATCCCTCTGCATCAAGTTCCTGTTATCCCTTTCCAGCTCCACGTGGTGAACCACTATGCCCCCGAGACTTCGAACAAACCTGGAAACCGGCATGTTCAATTTTCGCCGAGCCTCTCAATCCCGCGGGCATGCGGCGATGCCCGCCAACAGGGGCGCGGAACCATTTTGGACCAAATAAGCATGAGGTCTCAGAAGAGCTCCATGCATCTGGCCAAATCCTGTTTCATCATGTAGAGGAGATCCACCGTCCTGACCCGACCCAAATCATTGCCTCCAGCGTGAACCATTAACGTAATAGGCCCAGAAACAAACCTCCGTAACTGAACACATTCTGTGAAAAACTGGCCCCAGGAGAGACCACGAACACCTTGCCACCAAACCCTGGCCACTTCAAGGGAAAGCCTAAGTTCCTCCCATAGGACCTTTCCTCAGCTCTGCGTGCTGCCCAATAAATATATGAGTGACCCAGAATCCAGACAAAACGAGGGGATCCTACGAGAAAGAAAATTACAAAAGATGCGGTCGCATATATAACTTGAAGTGACCCGACTCCCACCTGCCCAACCGCTTAATCGAGGCCTCCGAGAATCCTAACATGCCTGCCTGAGTAGCGGCCCCAATCCTAAAGGAGTGGGCCGATGTAGCGGATGGCCTGTGACTGTCCGCCAGAATTATATGTTAAAAGACTGTTCGCATGGTTTTACTGAATGTACATTGAAAATTGTATCTAAATTCGTATGTTAGTTCGGTAGTTTCCTTCATAATTATACGAATGGAAACTACCGAATGCATAGACCACCTTAGAGACGAAGTGTGTCCCTAGTTAAACCCTTATTCCCTTTTTAACTGCAGCTAATTGAGGTTTTATTACTGTATCTGGGTTGCCGCCGTTCGGTAGACGAAAACGTGGCGGCGGCCATCTTACGCACGAACTCTCAGCGGTGTTTGGTCGTCGAGTGTCTGGAACCCAACTCGGACACTCGATTGGGCGAACACCGCTGAGACCTCCAGAGCTCCAGAACTCACGAACGGAGGGGCTAATCGATTCCTTGTTCGGTGAGTTCAATATACAGAACAATGGGGTTCGTGCGAACCCGAGATTATCTATGGATGGCAAGGATTTATGTCTGTTTCATCTCCCGAACGAAGACCGACCGCAGGGCCATAATGCATGGAACTCCTTTCGACTCTATTCGTGTGTGGTCGGTCAAATCATTTATTGTCTATAACTCCCGAACCCCTGGTCTGATCTGGGTGAATTTTAAGTATGTTGGTCACCCAGACCAGAGCTAGCAGGGGATGCCACTTAGGTCCTGGTACCCCACGGTTTTGGGGTACATCCAAGAAACAGGGGAAAAATTACCAGGATTAAGTGGATTAAGTGTCACTCTGAGGGGAGGGAAAGTAGGGGAGGGATCCTTTGTATCATTGGTTACTGTTGTAATTACTGTAAATCCCTCCCTTGCATGGGAGAATCCTTTATAAGGAGCTGCTGTGAATAAATCTTTAGTTCTGCTCCTGATGCTGTGTGTCGCCCAGTCATTGGGATTGCGTTTGGGATATTATTGGAGACTTTTTGCCTGCTGGAATTATTACTCTGTGGATTTATTATACTTGTTCCTGAGCCTTACTGGGATCTAAAGTGGAGATAGGCTATGCAATACTAGCTCTCCGCTACAGCCGAGTATCCTGAAATTTCCACACCGACCGCCAATAAAACCGCCTTAAGCCTAGCGGAGAACTGGTATCGAGTTAATGGGGACCCATTAGCATGAACCAATAAGGAGCCCACCCCACCCGGACGAACTGCTAAGTACGAAACCAACAATCGCACCGGGCAGAAGGGGCAACTAGCGGCACCAATTCGAACCCAGGCACCTCGTGCAGAACGGTCGTTTTTTGACCGACGAACCCGCAGATCCAGAGCCGAAGTCGACAGATGCACGTCCGACAACAACATAGGCGATAACGACCATAAGTTAGGAGCCACCAGCTCCCCCACCCTGAATGCCCCCAAAAAAACAAAAGGAAAAGGCTACCCGAAAAAGCAACACCTCAAAGTCAGAAGCACATACCTTCGGGAGGTCCTTCAACAAAAGCTCCAGCAGGTCCGCTGAGATCGGCCTCCGACGATCCTTACCCTTTTGAAGTCTCCAACCCTTCAACACTCGCTGAATAAGGAATTCTTTTGAAAGATCCCTCCAACCCAGAAACCGAAAGCAAAAGGACAAGGCAGACATAGCACGCACCGCCACCACACTGGACTTACATTGAGACTCCAAAGAGGCCAGGAGAAGCAGAGTGGCCTCGAACCGGCCCTCCTCCGATAAAACCTCTTTAGTCCTGTCAGCCGAGGACAGCCAGCGAAACCATACCACCTGATAGGCCCACCCAGGGCCGGCGCTACCTGTAAGGCGGACTAGGCAGCCGCCTAGGGCACCCCTTGGGAAGGGGCGCCGCCAGGAGCGCCGGCCCCCCTCATGCTGCAGCCGCCCGAGCGCTCTGTAGAGAGCCTCAGACGGCTGCAGCTTTGCCTAGGCGGTGCGTCCATGAGGGCGGACTGCACCGCCCGGGCGCAGCCTGAGGAGAGGGGCTGACAGGAGGGAATCGCTGAGCGCTCCCTCCTGTCACTCCCTCCCTGTAGCGTGGCCGAGCCCACTATGGTATGGTCCGCGGGTACAGGGAGCTTTTGTCTCCTGTACCCGGCCGGACTAACAGGAAGTGCACACTGAGCTGCCCGCTCCAGCTGCCCGCACCAGTTCCAAAGCCCTATCAAAGGACACGTATCGAACTCGACACACCTCCTTTCCGATGTCATCGTTCACAGATCCTCCAGCCGGGTAGGATAGGAGCCGGGCTCTTTTTTGGGGACTAAGCCCAGCGGCGACACGCGGAGATTGTGAAAAGGAGGGAAGACAAAGGGGTCTAATCTCCCTATCCAATTTGTCTTGTAACCTATCCTCCATCCCATGGACTGATTTTAAGTTCTCCGCAAAACAAAAGGACTCAGATAAGACAAATGGAATCCAAAACCACTTCAAAAATCCCCCTAACAGAACTGCCGTGGCACGTCTATTGGGATACCGGTCGAGCCACGGCCGCATCCTTGTGACGCTCACTGGAGTCCTCACTTCTAGGTACATCATCCCTGCCGGCTCCCTTTCCCGTAGCCTGTCTCCCTCCCCTTTTTAAAGAGGCGCATAGCGGGGTGTGCTCCTCCACAATGAGAGCATTCATGTCTGAAACGACAGGAACTGTTTTTCATTGAACAGCCAGCAGACTCCTCTCTTGTGGCCTGCCGGCGCGCCACTATGGCCTACACGGCGTCACAAGGCAACTCACTCCAGACGCTAGCAACTCACCCCAGACACTCACCCCTGGAGAGTGGTACAGGCGGCTCCTGCACTGTAGGTATGACAGCTTCTTCCTATTCCTCTGTCCAAGAGTCTGAATCTGACTCACCCTGAGCAGAACTGATTCTCCTTGCACTCCTGCTGGCTTCCAGCAGAGTTGAGGATCTTCTAGCATCTCTCCCTGGGTGTCTGGCACTCCTGCCTGCTTATGGCAGAGTTGCAGGGCTTCTCTTTCACAATGTCTGGCACTCCTGACGGCTTCGCCGGAGACGACCCGCCGGAGAGGAAGGGGAGGCGGGGCCTGTGACGTGGCAGCATCCGGCTGTGCCAGCGTCATGTACACACCCCAGGGCGATGCGTCCGACGTCATTCTTCTGCGTCCATACGTCACTAGGTCACTTCTGCTCTTACCGGAAGACACGGCGGACTCCGGGAACGAACCGCCATGCCGGCGCCATCTTGGGCCCTTGCGCCCGACACAATGGCAGAGCACCCACGCCTAGTATTCACCTGGGGGGCCTCCTCCGAGCCATCCGCACCAGAATTCCTCGCCACAACCCTCCGATCTCCACGCCTGGTACAGGGCCTCCTGGCCCTTCGACCGTCTGCAGGGGGGTCTTCCGCCGTTCTCCCCAACACAGCAGCACCTAAAGCCGTCCTCTCCAGCGCAGCAGCACCCGAAATTCCAGCAACGCCGGCCATAACTTCATCAAGGGCGCCTGAGCCATGAGACTCCAGGTAAGCCCACAGCATGCCAACCAGTGCCTCCTGGGACACCGTTGTTGTAGTTGATGACATTATGAATTATAGAAACTACTGATAAACACTAGATCTAAATTGCTAGGCCCTAAACTGTAGTAAAATTAGAACGATCTCACTCCTCACTTTACTGAGAAACTAATATGGCCCCTCCTCTGAACTGCTTTATATTTCATTTTGCAACAAAGTATACAATATAGCCACCCCCCACCCCCTTACTGCTGGCCTGCAGTCATGCCCTGCCTTCCTTTTCAGTCCAGGGAGATACTTACTTGTAATCTCTCTTATTTCCATTTTCCCTGAACAGCTGAAGGACAGTTTTATTTTTGTCCCTTGTGATGACAATTCTTTATATGCTGGGATTTTGCAAAACCCTCCACACACCAGTTTCATTGTTGCTAAGTTGTATTTCTCTTATTTTGCCCTGATTACTCATATTCTATTTCTGAAATCTAGAGTGCATTATTGAGTAGGGCCAGGAAGAATAGAATTGCATACACCAACCCAGTGAGGTTTTGATCATAAGAACTTGGTCAGTAGGAATTCACAAGGGAGATTTGTGCGCATGCTGTTACAAACTTAACGTGCCGTATCTGCTATTACATTAAATGTAGCTAAATATAACTAAAATAAGCAAATGCTCTAAACAGTGTCCGTTAAGCAGGGCCAGATTAAGAGCCCAGTGGGCCTGGTGCTGACAATTATGATGGGCCTAGTTACACATTTTTTTGACCAAAAATACTAAATCAGTCCTACCTCCTAAGCGTCATGTATATGATGGAGATGGTGCTGGAGGGAAACTCATAGGATGCAGCTATGAGAAAACACATACCAACGCTTTCATCTTTCAAGTAAACCCATACCCCCTAACAGCAGTGTTCAGTAAAGCAGGAAGTCTATGGACCGGGCAAAAGGGTGGGCCACTGACACAAATCACATAACCAGAACTGCCGAAAGAGGCAAACATACACAAAAAGGGGGAATGTCTGTGTCCCCATGTCTCCCAGTCCCTTAGTGTCTGTGTCCCCATGTCTCCCAGTGTCCCTATGTCACTAGGGGACATTGAGAGACATTGGGACACTGAGAGACCTGGGGACACTGAGACTCTTGGGGAAACTGGGAGACATGGGGACACTGGGTAACTTTGAGACATGAGAGGACACTGGGAGACATGGGGCACTGAGACACTGTGATACATAGGGGACACTGATATATAGGGGACACTGGAGACTTGATAAAGACCTGGGTACAGGTTAAAATGTTGTGGTGTCCAATAAACCTGCTTAAATCTATCACAGTGAGTGCCTGAGATCTTTTTCTTTTATACTAGGGGACACTGAGACACTTGGGGGCGCTGTGAGACATGGGGACACTGGGAGACTAGGGGACACTGAGACACTAAGGACACTGAAACACACCAGGGATACTGGGAGACATGGGGCACTGAGACACTCTGATACACAGGGGACACTGTGATACATAGGGCACACTGGAGACTTGATAAAGACCTGGTTACAGGGTTGAAACATTGCGGTGTCCAATAAATCTGCTTAAATCTATCACAGTGCGTGCCTGAGATTTTTTTCTTTTATACTAGGGGACACTGAGACACTTGGGGGCACTGTGAGACATGGGGACACTGCGAGACTAGGGGACACTGAGGACACTGAAACACACCAGGGATACTGGGAGACATGGGGCACTGAGACACTATGATACACAGGGGACACTGTGATACATGGGGCACACTGGAGACTTGATAAAGACCTGGTTACAGGTTGAAACGTTGCGGTGTCCAATAAATCTGCTTAAATCTATCACAGCGTAATAATAACTACCTATTTCAAGAGCTAAAATACTCTGAATGTCGGTGTTAGCTGGAAAGGAACACAAGATAAGGAAATGTATGCTCTTTGATAGAACGCTGCACACCACTTATTTTAATGGTCAGATAGCAAATCCAAAGCCAACTGGCTATACCTCTACCTACTCAGAAAATAGATGATACATGCAGAAATAAATAAAGAATATAAAGTCGTCCAATTTTCCTAATCTCTGACTTTATTGAGTGAGGTCTCTATCAGGAGTTGGATTTTCTTATATCACACTGAGTAGGTGTCTAGGATACAGGGAGCAGATGGCTGATGTCACTGATTCTACAATATGGTAATATAGAACTAGTAGAAGGTTGTTTGTAATTACAAATTGTTGCAATCTCTCTTCTCCTAATTTTGGTTAATGCAATTCAATATAGGAGACAGTTTGAGTGAAGAAACTGAGTCAGATAGCTGTCAGGTTAGGGCTTCTGTATTAGCACAGTGTTGCAATATTGTTGCAAAACAGAGAGAGCATAAAGAGGATACTAATTAGCTACAGTTGCTTTAACCCTCAGTTGTATGGGGTTGGTAATTTGTTTCAGATTGCAGCCCCTATCTACTGCTCATATCTAATGCCTGTCTTGAATAAACTTGAAGAATTAAAAAATAAGTGAAAAATCTCTCTGTGAACTAGAAATGATTGAGTACTCATTAGGTATTCACATGCAGAATAGAGACAGGAGTAGACATATAACAGCTTCTCTCTGATTGCTCACTAGACTTAAATCTATAACAGTGAGTGCCTGAGATTTTTTTTATACTAGGTGACACTAGGAGAAATGGGGACACTAGGGGACATTGGGACACTGGGAGACTAGGGGACTTTGGGAGACTAGGAAACACTGAGACACTGTGGACACTGGCACACTGCGGACACTGAGAGACACCAGGGACATTGAGACAAGGGGATACTGAGATACTAGGGACACTGGCTGGAAGACATGGGGACACTGGGAGTGCCCCATGTCTCCCAGGTCTCAAAGTCACCCAGTGTCCTCATGTCTCTCAGTGCCCCCTAGTGACTCAGTGTCCCCATGTTGCCCACTGTCCCCTAGTATTTGTATCCCCATGTCTCCCAGTGTCCCTTAGAGTCTGTGTCCCTATGTCTCCCAGTGTCCCGATGTCACTAGGACACTAGAGGACACTTAGAGACATTGGGACACTGGGAGACATGGGGACCATGAGACACTGGGAGAGACATGGGGACATGGAGAGACATGGGGACATGGAGAGACTAGGGACAGCGAGAGACACATGGGGACACTGGGAGACCTGGGGACACTGGCTGGGAGACATGGGGACACTGAGAGACTAGGGGACACTGGGAGACATGGAGCCACTGTGTCCCTAGTGTCTCGGGGTCCCCATGTTCCCCAGTGTCCCTATGTCTCCCAATGTCTCAGTGTCCACATGTCTCGCAGGCTCGTAGCTGCTGTCTGGACTCTCTGTGCAGAGCTGCTCCCCCGCGGATCAGTGAGTAAAGAGAGGCAGATGCTGTAACTTCTTATCCCTGCCTCTCTCCACACAAACAGCGACCCCTACTGGCTGGCGCTGGTATTGCAGAATAATCTCTGTTTATATTGAGATAGACATTTGTATTGCCGGTATTACTGCAATACCGGCACCGGCTAGGCAGCCTCAAATACCTGATAAATACTTCTGAGAAATACCTGGCAACCATAAGAAATACATGAGAAATACCTGGCAACCCCAATAGTACCGTGTGTAAAAAAAAATATATATATATATTTTTTTTTTTAAATCAATGGGCCTATTCCATGGGCCTGGGCCTGGGCCTGGAGCTGCAGCTCCATCAGCCCCTATGTTAATCCAGCCCTGCCGTTAAGCAAGGACAAATATACCTTATTTTAAATGTAACCTTTGGTAGGACAGACATTTAAAGGAACACTATAGTCACCTAAATTACTTTAGCTAAATAAATCAGTTTTAGTGTATAGATCATTCCCCTGCAATTTCACTGCTCAATTCACTGCCATTTAGGAGTTAAATCACTTTGTTTCTGTTTATGCAGCCCTAGCCACACCTCCCCTGGCTATGATTGACAGAGCCTGCATGAAAAAAAAAACTGGTATCACTTTCAAACAGATGTAATTTACCTTAAATAATTGTATCTCAATCTCTAAATTGAACTTTAATCACATACAGGAGGCTCTTGCAGGGTTTAGCAAGCTATTAACATAGCAGGGGATAAGAAAATCTTAATTAAACAGAACTTGCAATAAAGAAAGCCTAAATAGGGCTCTCTTTACAGGAAGTGTTTATGGAAGGCTGTGCAAGTCACATGCAAGGAGGTGTGACTAAGGTTCATAAACAAAGGGATTTAACTCCTAAATGGCAGAGGATTGAGCAGTGAGGCTGCAGGGGCATGTTCTATACACCAAAACTGCTTCATTAAGCTAAAGTTGTTCAGGTGACTATAGTGTCCCTTTAACTAAACTTCACACATGTTTAATAGTCAAAAAATGAACTTAAACTGAGCAGCCAGAACATTAAAACCACTTGCCTAAT